ACAGTCCAGAGACTTGTGTCAAATTGGTGATGATGGTGCAAGCAGATTGATTGCAAAGTGTTTTCTACTAAATCATACAGACACACTCTTGACTCTGACCTGCTCCTGTAACATCCCTCCAGGCGCTCTGTCCTGCAACCCGTCTCTGGGCGGAGTAGGGAAAGGCCAGCTCGTGAAGGAGATCGACGCTCTGGACGGGCTGTGTGGTCGAGCTGGAGACTACGCTGGCATTCACTTCTCCATCCTGAATCGGAAAAAAGGCCCCGCTGTGTGGGGTCCGAGAGCCCAGCTGGACCGGCAGCGCTACCGAGAATTCATTCAGGTATCACATATAGAAGAAAGGAGTATGGAAGGGTTTTTTTTTGTCTGTGAGTGAATTTAAATGTGTTTGACTGTGTGCCGGCTGTTTTCCGTTCAGTCGGAGCTGCTGTCCACTCCCAGGCTGACGGTGTTGGAGGGCTCAGTGGAGGAGCTGCTGGTGACGGAACCAAACCCAGAGGAGCCTGGAAAGCACCAAGTGACTGGGATACGTTTGGGTAAGCAGCATTTGACAGCTGTCTTAAGTAGGAAACCAACCTGTCCTGTACATATTACAAACTGAATTTATTGTCACTGTAGTTAGTAGATTAAATGTGACAAATGAATAATAAATAACACACTGACTTCCTGACAGTCACTGCTTTACTTTGAGGTAAATATCTGTTTTGAGTTCTGATATTTTTAAAATCGTCTTCAACACATTATTTCTGTCGGAGCTTTTTTTTTTTTTTTTACCATCAAATTTAGGTGCATTTTTTGTTAGATTTTTTATTTTTTTTAAATCCCTGTTTAGTTTTGTAAGTCATTATTTTACATGTGGAAAGAAATACAGTCTTTTTGTACATTATCCCTCTTTTTCTGTTCCTGTCACCTGTGTAGTCATTGACATTTTTATCACTGTAATATAAAATCCTGCACCTCCATGAAAGCAGCACAACTATGGGTTGAAGCAGAGAGAACTCAACAATGTCTTCTGAGCTGTATGGCAGAGTTAAAATGCCACAAAACATAAAAAATACAAACAAAAAGGGAATTTCTTCATTTCTTATGGTACAAAAATATTTAAAAACCTGGACAAAAAGGTTCCCAAGTGCCCATACAGGGAAAAAAAACACGTAGACTCTACATACTACAGATATTTTTACATTTTTACTTCCTTGTCTCCTATTTGCCCTGTGTAAACACAACCTGCAGTTCAGCTGAAATTCACAAAAGTATTGCCTTGTGACTGATGACATTGCGTTTTATTGCTTTATTTTTGACAAATTGTTACACTGGACTTGCAGAATAAAGTGATTTTGATGACGTGTCACACTTTTAAACTTAGTTTTGGTTAATTTTGCAGACAGAACAGCTCATCAAAAATGATTAATTAAGATGACAGGCTTTTTAAACCTGGTGGTGGTGGTTTTGTGGTTCAGAGGGTCAAAACAGATTTCAGTTTCTAACATATGAGCCAACAACTAAAACGCACTTCCAGCATTTTGAAATGTATAATTACAGAACAAGTCATGTGTTAATCAGCTCCTGATTCTTTTTCACTTCTTTCAACACCAGTGAACTGTGACCACCCGATCTCTGCCAGCTCAGTGGTTCTCACCACTGGTACTTTCTTATCCGGCTCCCTCTTCGTGGGCCAGACCACGTCCCCCGGGGGTCGGATTGGAGATGCTCCATCCAGTGCCGGACTGTCCCACACCCTGAGGGAGAGGCTGAAGCTAAAGATAGGCCGGCTGAGGACTGGGACCCCTCCCAGGATTGTGAAGGATTCAGTGGACCTTTCCTTGACTAAGCTTCACCCCCCTGACAGTCACCCGACCCCGTTCAGCTTCCTTAACAGCCGCACAAACTGCAAGGTAAAGCTAATGCGTCTCAAGGTGCTCCTGTCATTGCCTGGTCTATAAAAGCTTTTTTCAGAACTGGCAAGTGTCATTTCCAGTGAATGAATGTTTTATTTTGAAACTCACAGCCTGAAGAGCAGTTGCCTTGCTACCTGACCTACACCACTCCTGGTGTGGAGAGAGTGGTGAGGGAGAGTTTTCATCTCAACTGTCACATACAGCAAGACGCCAAAGGTCCCAGGTACGCACACGTATGACAAAGATGCTCGACCTTGTGCTCAGCTGTCCTGCTATTCAAAAGGACTAAGCGTGTCCTTGCCTCTCACAGGTACTGCCCCTCCATCGAGTCGCGAGTCCTGCGCTTCCCAGGCCGGCAGCACCAGGTGTGGCTGGAACCTGAGGGGCTGAACTCCGACCTTTTGTACCCACAGGGTCTGTCCATGACCATGCCACCCGATATCCAGCTCCGCCTCATCAGAGAAATCCCCGGCATGCACAGAGCGGAGATCCACACACCTGGTACAGCGAATCCTGTTTGCTCTGCATAGTAACAGATTTGCAGCACATCAGCTGCAGCTCAGTCAGTCCTGTTCTGATGTGACAGGTTTGAATGAGACAACACGGCAGACTGACATGTCCTGCTTGTCTCTAGTTTACGGATCTAACAGTCAAATAAATGTCGCTGTTGATGTTTTTTGTTCTCTCCCAGGTTATGGAGTACAGTATGACTTTGTGTGTCCCACTCAGCTGAGCCCTGCGCTCCAGGTGAAAAGCACTCAGGGTCTGTTTCTGGCCGGTCAGATTAACGGAACGACGGGGTACGAGGAGGCTGCTGCACAGGTAGCTGCTTTTTTTCCCCCTCCTCTGGGGCTCATACAATTATCACGGGTCATCAAACTCCATCTGGATGGTCCTTCTGCTCTCTATCACGGTGGTTCTCAACCTTTTTCGAGTCACTAACCCTGTCTTTCCACCCGCACCGTCCATAAAGCAAACACATTAATCACTCGTAAACGGCCTGCTCCTTCTCTGTCACGATCAAATTCTGTAAATAAATGTTTTGCTCCACATTTAGTGGCAGAGTAACTGCATGCCGCCAAGCAGTTTAATGGGTTTTGGTCTAAATATTTCAGTGTATGATTACTGTAAACCCCGTAGCTAAAGAAGTGGGCATTTGTGTTGTGAAATGGTGAAATTAGTTGGACTTAATGGAGAGTTTTGAGTGTGTGTGTCCAATATGAATGCAACTGGTACAGGCGATTTAATGTACAAACTAGTCCCCATTCTAGAATCTGTTTCATTTAAATTTGTTTTTTTTCCCTCAAACATTTTGCAGCCAGGTTGAGAAGCGTTGCTCTAACACACAGATAGAAACACTTACAGCAAACCACAGATGTACAGACCGACATTTAGCAGAAGTGAAGCATATTTAGCACAGTTACCGACTTTGAATTGAAGGCCAGCATCTCAGATTTGTTACTTCCGGTGTGGCTCGTAGTTATTCCCGCAGGCTGACGAAACAATCGACACATTCAGTGTTTAGCAGACAGAGTTAACAGGATTTACGCTACTGCAGGAATAATGTGAGTTAAATGACGGGCCTGTTCAGTGTGATTGTCAGCTGTAGGAAGCGATGTTTTCTGCCATCTATAGTTGTTTGTTCTTCTGAGATGCATTGTCATGTAACTGCTGCTAAACGCTGAACCGTGCATGTGCCCACATATCGGCACAAACTAACACCCTAATTAGGAGGAAATACATAAGAGCTTTCTTTTAGGCTCTTTAACAGAGTATTACCGCAATACCCACAGCCAAGTTGGTGAAAACCAGCCTAAAGACCACTTCACAGAAAACGTTTTGTTGAGAAAATGGCTTCATTGCATGTCAGGTTGGCACTGGCAGCAGCCTAGTCTGACTCAAAGAAGAAGAAGTAACTGTAACTGATTAGTAACTGTGATGTGATCATTTAATGTCAGAACAGGTAGGACAAATTAAATGTGATTACAGTAGATCATTAACTCCAACACTGCTGCCTGTCAGCTCTAGATTCAGTAAAAGTGTGCTCTTGTTACTGTTGCTTCGTTCCAAACCGTCTCTTCAATGATTCACATCTGCTTTGTGTGTTATTTGTCGATCAGTGTAACAAAGCGTGGCAGCACCGTGCACGTATCGTATCACACTGAAGCACATGAGCAGGGAAAACACTGAGACTCTGATGGGAACTGTTTTGTGTCTGAGCAGGGCTTGTGGGCGGGGGCGAACGCTGCCCGCCGGGCGCTCTCCACGCCTCCGGTAGCGCTGTCTAGAACGGAGAGCTACATCGGAGTTCTCATTGATGATCTGGTGAGCCGAGGCGTCACAGAGCCGTACCGCATGTTCACCAGCCGGGCTGAGTTTCGAGCCTCTCTGAGGCCGGACAACGCCGACCTCCGCCTCACTCTGAAAGGTTGGTGTGGTGTCTGTGGCGACAGCGTACAGCACAAAACCATTTCTGCTATTCATCTGTTATCTGACTGTAAATCTTTCTGTGATGCTCGCTGACACATGGTCACGACTCTCACAGGTACTTTTAGTCTTTCTCCTCTCGTGACCTTTCTCCTGTCAGGCTTTGAGGAGGTGGGCTGTGTGTCTTCCTTGCGCTACCAGGAGGTTGTAAGAGTCAGGAACAGTCTCCAGGATGCACAGACGGCCCTTAGAGCCCTCACTCTGTCCGCCGCCAAATGGAAAGAAACGCTGCCCAGCATCCTCATCAGTGGGACCAAGAGCACCACAATGACGTGAGTGACGATATTTTAATTCACTGCTCAGCTGAAAATGTCTAATGTTACACATCAGGACACAGTTAAGAGAACATCTCTGGCTTCTTTTTCAGCGGTATGGACATAATGCGGTACAAAGACGTGTCCTTTGAAATGTTGGCAAATGTCTTCCCAGAGCAGCTTTCATCTTTCATGGAATTCTCACAAAGACTCCAGATAGAAGGTAAAACATGTGACAAACTCTTACTCACATTGCTGTTCAAACTGCTGCTTTAATTGCTGCTTTTTAATAGACTTGTTGTCACTTTTTAAATGTATTATTCTTATTATTATTAGTCATAGTAGTAGTAGGATTATTATTATTATTATGTTATTATATATATAGATATATATATTTAAATTTAAATTGAATTTATAATTACTACTGTTATTTTTCTTTGACTTATTGCTCTACATAATCTGCTGCTGACGTCTCTGATTCTTACATGGACTCTACTGTCTGACTACCTGAGCAGCAACACTCACACTGTTACTGGCAGCAGGCCTGCCACTGCACATAATCTGCTGCTTTCACCTGCCCACCTTTTTGTGTGTTGTTTTTCTTTTTCTTGCTCATTTTTAATGTGTCACTCTTTGCCCACCTAATTGCCCCTCAGGAATAAATAAAGTTTTTTCTGACTCTGATTCTGATAATTGTAATATTTGGCCCAGTTGTTCCCCTGCTTCACCTCAACATGTTGCTTCGTTGTTATGGCATTTTTAGCTACTATACAATCTGACATTTCTCCATTTCTGTCATGTAGCTGTTTACAAGCCTCACTGCGACACACAGAGGAAAGAGATTGAGAGAATTCAGAAGGAGGAGAACATGTCTCTGCCACAGGACGTGGATTATCTCTCTCTGCCAGTGCCAATGTCTCAGGAAGTCAGAGAGATTCTGGACAGAGTTCGACCGAGCACTGTGAGTCTGCACATTCAGGGCATTTGCTGATCATTTCTGTCATTTTTCCAAAAGAAAATATGGAATTAAAATGGTCATTTTGTCTACCAGAAACAAATGAATATGCAGTTACTCCTCTGCTTTATCCTCCAGCTGGGCGCTGCTACTCGTCTGGAGGGTATAACTCCTGCTGCCATAGTGAGTCTCCTCAACTATGTGCAGTTCACGGGGAAAAGGGAGAGAAGAACGAACAGAAACCAACCAGACCAGAAGGAAGAGACAGAGGAGGAACTGTGTGCAAGAAACGCATCTTTACCTCAGTAATACAATGACTACAACCGTCTCGTAGAAATGTGTATATTTATATAAAAACAACAAAAGAATAAATTATGGTATTTAAGGATGGAACATGTCTTTGTTGTGCCCTACTGGTAATGGGCGACTTTTTACATTGTGAAAAAGTTCAACAAAATAAAACCTTGACACATTAATTTCAGTTCATTCATAGAAAACCTTTCCTCACACCAGCAAGTTATTAAGAAATTCCTAACTACTCCAGTGCTACCTCTCCTGCTACCTAGAGAAGAATTCTAATCCTGTTAGCAACATGACTGTGAACAGCATTAAACTCCATGTGACCTTGTCAGTGTCGCTGCCGTTAATAACAACGTGGCCATCTAGCTCAGCGGCGCCTCTAGTGAAGAAACCGAATGGAAACTTCCAGTGAGGCTGAGGCAAACCCCTGGGGGGTTCTGGGTAAACTGTAGTGTCAGCAAACATAACTTTGGTGGTCAGAGCGAGAGGTGATGACATAGGACACTGAAAGACAGAGAGGAGGAGAGTGTTTGGACATCTTCTCAGAGGTAAAATAATGAAAGGAAGACTTGTTTGAAATCGTCTGCAGAGGAACAGAGTATATGTACCTTGACATTTTGACACTGGAAAAGGTATTTGGCTCCCAGGATGTAGCTCTGTGGGAGGTCAATGAGACCCTGGCGAGCCCACAGCACTTGGATTGAGAGAGAGTGGGGAAGGGTGCAACCTGACTCACATGTTTCCTGACAGAGGGAACAAAGAAAATGCAAAGTTTACAGATTCAAAAAGCCACTTAAAATACAATCACATCTTGGTTTTGCCAACAACCAAAACCTGCTATAAAGGACACTTTTATTCAAGTTTAATGGCATCAAGTCCTTCTGCACACACACACAGCAGTTACTGTGTCAAACATTTCATTATTTTGTACCTGCAGACCAACACGACAGTCCTGAGTGATGACTCTCGTCCACTGCGGTTGGGAGCCTGAGTTCATGGCGATCACATCAGGCGTAGCGAGTCCCTGCAAGATCCCATAAATCTGTGAACGTAGCTCCGAGCAGTCGCTAGCTGCAGAACTAGACAGCACAGGGGCAGAGAGAAATGAAAGAGAGCCACATGTAAGAGAGAATAGAACTTATGATTGCATTTTAATCTTAAATACTGGGACTGATTTACAACAACTTTAAAACTCCTTTTTCTTTAAATGAGGTAAAACAAGATGCGATGAAGCTAAAACAACAAACTGCTGGCTAACCTGAATGTGCAGCCAGTGATAGTGTTGTATGTGAAGAGGACTGGTGCTCGTCTGCTCAGGTCAGAGGAACATTCCCCACCTTGGGACACTCCTAGTGTTGTTAACTGACTCACTGTTAAGGATTAATGATGCATGACTGACTCAACGCTTTCCAGATTAATTCAAATCTAACCCATAAAGGAAAATTTCGTTGAATTGTTGCTAAGGATACAGGATTCACTTGGTCATCAAAACGACCAATGACAGGAGATCCTGTTAGAAGTCCGACTGCAGACGTTAGCCCTCCTGGAGTGGGGCTCGGTGCAGCCAGCTGCAAGAGACAAATGGCGATAATCTTAATGTTTGAATTTGTTGTTTATTTGGTGTCTTTGATAGAATCTTCAGCTTTAATTAGTCTACCTGAAAATGTACAGAGTGAGTCTGCAACAAGTCCTGATTGGGATCCACATCAACCAAGACGACATTGACTGATGCATATGTGAGTTCACCTCTGCCTGTGTAACCTATGACGAACTCCACCTGCAGGAGAAGCAGGAAAGGCAGAATCAGTCATTTTGATGCTTCGTCATGAACTTGAATACATCACTTGTGTGTTTGCTGACCTTCTGCACTGCGTTAATACAGGAGTTGTTTTGTTGGCTTGGTGCAGGCCAGTCAGACAGCGGTGTCACTGAGATCTGAAACCAGAGTTAGTGAAGCTTTATACACGTTGTCAGACAGAAAACACGTAAAATGATTTTTACTGTTGGTATGAAACATTTACATTTATGCACATGTTGAACCTTTACATTTTTTTTGACAGCTTCACACTCAGGAAATAAGCAACAATCATCAACTTTTTAGCCGACAACATCTAACAAGTTCATATTTTATGCTGCAAACAGAACTTATACAGCAGATGAAGTATTTGTTGCTTTTCTAAGGACTTTGGGTTCTGACATGCTGGAGAAAAGCCCACATACTAGTCATAGAAGCTGATTTATATTCTGACTACTGAACTCAACTGTTGCAGAGGCATGTGAAGTGCAAAATGAAAACGTTTCTGCCGATGCCATGCATGGCTTTGTGCTGTATTTACAATCAGTGACTTACCAGAAAATCTGACACTGGCACCATCTCGCCTATGGGAATCTGTAAACAAAAAAAAGTCTATGTTAGCCTGTGTGCTGTGAGATTCTCACCAGTAATCATGTACTTAAAAGCATTAAGTGGATTTGCTGACCTTAATCAGACTCAGGTCAGAGAAGTAGGAGCGGGCGCTGAGACTTGGATCTGTGGTGCATGACTGAGGAGACACCATGCGGGTACAAGACAGAGACACAGACCTCAAGAACTCTAGAAGCAGATGAAGACAGAACATAATAAGAGAAACAGTCACCATAGTTAGTACAGTAAAGGGCTGCTTTGCACACAGAGAAGACTGTATACTAACTGTTTATACAATGCACAACAGAAAACGCACTTAAAAATGCCTCTAAGTCCACTCTAACCATGGCTGTCACCTGGGAGGCAGCTGAGATCATTGCAAAACTACACAGTTAATTGCCAGGACTGCATTTGAAAACTGGCTTGGAAAAACGTTGCTACCCTGTGATACTCAGCATTCAACTTTATATGTGTGGACTGACTTGCAGGGTTGCGGTTGATACAGAACGCAGCAGCAGCAGCTCCTGCAGACGGCTGACGGAGGAGACCCCGCACAGAGGAGTTAGAAAAATACGTCTGGATGACATCATCAACCTACAAAAAAAAAGCATTTTCTTTCAGAAAAATATGCTTATTTAATACTGTAGGTAAAAACTGTGAGCAGAAATCTTTTAGCATCATATGTGTACCCTGTAAAAATCTCTGCTGTGACGGGCGATTGTTGGCTCTGGTGGTGAAAAGTGGTACGAATCCCCTAAAGCTGGAAACTGAAGTACAGCTGGGAGAGCCTGGGGTGCCTTATCTGTGGTGGGTAGAAAAATGCACATTTTTTAAGAGTATTATTGGCAGGACGCTTATGCCTCCCCCTGGTGAAAGTACTTGTCAAAGTTGAATAATGTATAGCTCATTTACAATGTTTTTCAATTCATGTATTCACATCATATCTATTCACCTTCAGGCCGGACACAGAGCAAGGAGTCAGTCACAGTGATGAGAGATGAATTCACGTTGGCTCTGAACATGAGCCATTTCTCAATGCAAACTCCTGATCTGTAAAATAAGAAGGTTTAGGTTCCTAAAATGCTTTTTTTTTTTTTAACGAGCTCTTTATGTGCTATAGTATTGCATAGATGACTTACATGGCTCTCTGTGGACATCCAGTGAAGACAGTACTCAAGTTGGCAACGTCACAATCAACTGTGTCACAACAGCAGCCAATGTCACAGAAGTCAGGCGTCAAATCACAAAGACAAACTGGAAATCAACAGAAAGAATCATGTTAGTCAAGACAAGATAGTATATACAGTTGAAACCACAAGTTTACATATATACTGTATATACTGTATAAAAAGACATATAACTTTTTTTTTCTCACTGTCTGACATTAACTGTGGCAAAACCTTTACTGTTTTAGGTCAGTTGGGATTACCAAAATTATTTCTGTTTGCCAAATGGCAGAATAATGAGAGAGAGATTTTTTTAAAATAATTTTTTAGAGATTTTTTTTTATTTACGATGTATGTAAACTGTATTTATATAAAGCATTGAGATCAGATATTATTTAAATGGACATTGATTGAAGCTGACATGGCCTAACAAACAGAACACTGAGTGGAGACAAAGAAAAAGAGATGGACAAATGTTTTCAGCTCATGGGGCAGGTGGACGTTACCCTGAGGAGTCACTGCAGGCTGGACGGTGGTTGCAGACGGAGCCTCGGTGTCCACAGTGGGCTCTTCGGACACAGGCAGCGTCGGGGTGACCGTGAAGTTGTCAGTGGTATTCAAAGTAACTTCCTCCGTGAAGTTGTCAGTGGTATTCAAAGTAACTTCCTCCGTGGAGTTCACAGTGGGATTCAGAGTGACCTCCTCCGTGGAGTTCGGGTCCTCCGTACCGCCCGGAGCAGGGGTGGCTGGGCTGAAAGGCTCCCTATTAGTTGGGGTGGAATTGACGGTGGCGGTGAGCCCCGAGTCTGTGGCTGCGTGGGCCAAACGTCCACACAAGACGATAAATATCTGAAGTGAACGAAACCAGCGGCGGGAATTCATTTCGTCGACAGAGACATGATGCGCTGAGCACTGCGAGCTGTAGCTAATTAGCTAGCTAGTTCATTAACGTTAACTTCACCGTTAACTTGAAGTTCTTCTCTTATGTCGCTCGGTTGAACCTCAGACACTTGAACACATGCGACAAAATAAAAGTATGTTCACATGACACTATTAGTACCTCCGCAAACGTTTACCAATGCAGCATTTAGCTACATGCTAACTCAGTGCACCGTCTGGACAACAAGCTTCTTGTTGCCAAGGAAGCTGTCATGGAGACATCCGCTACTGGGATAGCCCTGCCGTAAAACATGTAAAAGAGACGAAAAGCAGTTTCCCTAGCGACCTTATTTTTTTTTATTACTATCAATCAGCAACGGTTCATTAAGAAAACAAATAGAACAGTTTAAGCAGTAGAACAAATAGCTGCAACACTTAAACAAATTAAATACGTTTAATAGATTACATTTGTTCCCATACCAAATATTTTGGACTTTTGAAAACAATCTTTATTATAAAAAGTAGGTGAACATTTGTTAAAAAAAAAAAAAAAAAAAAATTTAGAGGAGATAAGTTTTTCCATTTACACTCTATATTCGTTATTTGTAACAATTAGAACTACAAACCTATATATACACCAACTAAAGCATTTAATTTCCCTCAATATGACAATATGTAACCCACTTTTACTACTTCAGTTTAAAATCTGGACTAAAATGTGTTGACAGAAGAAACCTAAGCAATAGCTGATTCAGATCAACATCAACTAGGGCTAAGTTTGCAGTGGCATAAAGATCCAAAAAGAGTTGAGCCCGTTGTCTCATCTCTGTATGTATTTAAATCTGTCAGGCCAATTTAAACTTGCCAGTTTTTTAGGTACCTATTGCTAAAACTTATGCGGCCTAACAGCTGACTAATTATGGATCACTCCTTCTATTATTTTCTCCCCCAATTCAGGTGTTTCCACCCTATTTAGATCAATGTCAGTAGGCCTAGACATGCATTCACTTGTTTCAACAACAAAAACATAAAAGAAGCAGAAGATTTTATTATGAAAAACTGCTATATGTGCCTGCGATGGACTGGCGATCTGTCCAGGGTGTCCCTGCCTTCGCGCTAAGTCAGCTGGGATAGACTCCAGCCCCCCCGCGACCCTAATGAGGATTAAGCGGTGTATAGATGATGGATGGATGGATGCTATATGTGCGGCAACTCAGCAGAAAAAATATTCAATGAGAAAATCTGATTTACAGGCTAATTAATATTTCAAAGCAACACACAATGTCTGTGGGTTTTACTGTTCTGTATGATGTTCCACCATATTTTGAATTGTCACCTTGTTTTTTTCTTTGCATAAATAAAGACATTTGCATCATAAATTTAAACAAAAAAGGAACGAATTCACCCCCAGCACTTCTCACTTAATGTGCCTGGTTTTCGCTTTAAGAACAGAAGTCTGTTTTGTTCCTTTCACGATGTACTTATCTATTTCGTATGATATTTCAGGTCTTAATCTTGTTCTTAAAAAATGATTGTTCCAAGATGTATCAAGTTACTCAATATGCCTCCAACAACAAATGTCTCATCATATTACCTGCTCTCTGTATTGTTTGTATAAATCCTGCCTCCATCTCGTCCCTCCTGATTGTGTCTGAAGCCTCTCCTGACACGATACCACCAGATGCAACCCGCTGAGCTACTAGACAGCATGAATTTGTCCTGGCCTGCAGGGCACTGCGAGGGCTGCATTCACAAGTTCATGTGAGTAGGTTGTGAGGAGATCAAATCACATTTTACTGTGTGATTGCAATGAAATAGAATATTACTATTTGTACAAGCAGAGAAACACCCATCAAACAAACACCAGCTGGTGCTTTTATCAACTCCACCTCCTTGTATTATGAAATTCAAACAATGAAAAAATAGCAGGCAACTTTTGGGATAAATGAGTTACTGTTTAGTGACTTACTTGGAGATCCATCATCAGTATTGACTCTGCCACACCAAACTCCTCCTAAAGATCTAGTAAATGTTTATTTTCTTTTGGTGCAGACCAGTCAGACAGTGGTGGCCATGACAAGATTAGCGGCCACTTTTAAACCTGCAGTGTGCATGTAGTGCCAGGCAGAGGTGCACAAAATGTTCTTTTAGACAATAAACTAATTATTTGTATTCTTGGGTTGTTCTGCTTCTCAGTTATACAGTGATTCCTATTTCAGTCAAAATGCTGTTACTTTTTTCTGTTTTGGACAGCTGGGCCTACAATGATCAAACTAATTGGGAAATTTTGGATTTAGGAAAAATATAGATAAAAGTCTTGGCATTTTGTGTTTGCAAACTTAAGAGAAAAAATGGAAATGAGTGTCCAGACTTGTGTTTTCAAATTTCTTTCAAATACTTTTAAATTTAAGAAAATAAATCCACAGCTTAATGGAGGGATTATACTAACACTGGACAGGATGCATAACAATGATAATAAACAAGAGAAAAACAGTCATCTAAAATTGCTCTATTACAAATTATATATATATTGCTTTTGCTAGACCTTCCCTTCAAATTAAATGCCTCTATCACTTAAATAATAAATAATAGTTCAGGCTTCCTGCCAAATATCTGAAACCTAAACTGTAGCTGGATACATTCTCAAGCTTTACAAAGCTCCCCTAAGAGCTACAGAAAACATGACACAACTGCTTCCACCGGCTGAGCTCTGTGGACACATGATGTGAACTGACCTTTTTATGCACAGTTGGTGGACTAACCCTTTTTAAGTAAGCAAACATTCAACATTGGATTTTGAAAAGCTGTTATTATAACTGCTGCTGTCAACAAAGTCACTTCTAGACCAATGTCAGTACTAGTGATAGTATTAGTGATAGTGTCACACTGTCAGTGGTTTGGCAGATTTCAGACTTGCAATGATGAATTTACAGAATCCCAGCCTGACCTGCATAACAGTGAGGTTCACCGCCTGCATGACAGTGTGTCTCAGGTGAAGGACAGGGACTCTCCCGCCTGCACCACTTCAATACTCTACTGTTTCTGTGCAGACTTTACATCTGTGCCTGGAAAAATAAAAGGCATGGCCTCAATCTCAAGTTTATTCACTATTATGTTTTTAATCTTTAATGGTTCTATGCTGCTGTTTTATTAATGCATCTTATTCGACTGTTGTTTCTTTTCCAGAAATACATACCTGCCCTGATGGAGCTGCACAGCTTGAAACCAGGAGAAACAGCTGTGGTGTACTGGACAGCTTCCACATGTGAATGTGTGGAACTGCACAGATTTCAAGTGGTCATTGAAATCACAAACAGGTTTATGGCCAGGTATAGCTTACACAATGTGAGGAATTTGTTCTGGTGGGTTGATGCAACAATAATATAGAAAAAAATAGAAGATGGTAGAATAAATATAAAATATTAAAAAAATGAGAGTGAAACACTGTAGCAGTGCAAAACAGCAGCAATTTAGTTATTGACATTTACACAGGTAGTGTATGGAGACAAGGGGGGTGGGGGGTCAATGGGGGTCCTGGGCATTGTTCATGAGGCCGGTGGCAGATAGTTCTGTAGGCGAACTGCAGGGGTTCCAGGTGACTTCATCACCACCGAGGTCAAGGTGACGGGTCTGTAGTCATTGAGTCCTGTTGTCCTTAGATTCTTGGGAACAATGGTGGAGGCCTTGAAGCACACTGGTGGAGGAGGAGGAGGAGGAGGAGGAGGAGGGAGCCTTTGAGGTGGGCTATATAATCATTTAAGTTTAAAGAATAAGAATAAATAATCTTGAGGGTTTATTCATTATATGTTACCCATTATAATGTTGATTCTTAAAGACTTGTGTGCTTGTAAGTGATGTTGTTCTGCAGGACGGGGTTCCCGTCCTTGGGAGGAAGCAGATGAGTGTGTGACTGCCAATAACCTGATAATCGATAACCAGGATGAGCTGTGGATGCGGGGAAGACAGGCTGTAAAGATAAAGGGGCGTACATTCCAACAAAGAAACAAAGGATCAAAGGAATAAAGGAACAAACGAATAAATGGACAGATCAGAGGAAGATGTGAAACAGCTTGTGTGACATATTGTGTACCCTGTCATGTGACTGAAAGGGAGAGGTCTGAGTCTCACTCTGTCTGATGCTGGGGAGAGTTTGACCCAGAGCTCTGTAATGTAACATTCAGTGTGTGATTAAATTGATTAATTGAAACCGAATTTGTTTCGTCTTTGCAAACGAACACACGGAGAAAACCGAATCTTCTCCAACAGAGGTGCAGGTGGTGGGTTGTGGTTCGTCAGAGGTGTGAAGGGGGATGGAGTCAGGACTGTCCCATTGCCTTTCAAATCTACACTCATTTAGGCTATTGGCCAGGTCATTGGCAGCTTTGGGTGCTCTCGGCTTGTAGATGGTTACCTGCCTGAGCCCTTTCCACACAGAGGCAGTGTCACTGGCTGAGAACTGGTGTTGGAGTTTCTCAAAGTACAGACGTTTAGCTCTTCTCACCTCCTTGCTAAACGCGTACCTCTCTATCTCCACTCGTGAAAGCTGCCTCTTTGTCTGACCTGAGCGCTCTGAGTTTTGCTGTGAGCCAGGGTTTGTCACTGTTATAACTCACCCTGGTGCATGTTGCTATTGAGCTGTCCTCACAGAAGCTGATGTGTTGCAGGTTGCAGAGTGCTTTCTCTTATTCAAACTGTCAAATAAACAAACATATGAGAAAAACATTGCATCCTTTACCTACAAAACTATCTGTTAGAATCCTTCACTGACTAATATGGAGGGATTTGGGCGTATACTCTGGGATATTTAGATTTATTATTTCTATTAACTAGAGGGTCCTCAGTAGAGGGATATAGTTGCCCCTGGCAGCCATGATTGCACTGAGCCCCAGTAAACCACTATTCCATCCAGCTTACCACTACATAAGTGTTTTCTTTCACTGATCATGTTTGGCTGGTTTTCTGAGGTGAAATGGGTGTTATCCATATATACATTACATGTTATTTAAAATATAATGGCAACATCAACATTTTTTGACCCTGAGTTTGACCTTGAAATATCAGGATCTAATAGTGTATATATGATGTCTGATACAAACAATGCATCTATCTTTGCACCATTTTCAAGTTACAATGCAGTCAAAGTTTGACCTTGAAATATCATCCAGGGTTAAATGTAACATCACCAACAGAAAGCCCCAACATGGTTGTTTCTCTGCACCAAATATCATAAAACTACCTTCCACCCTTCTGAAGTAAATCATAAAAAAAGAGAAAATGAAAGACAGATTTCTTTGTTTATTTTGCAAAACAGAAGCAAACTGGGGGCTGCAAGGTGGATCAGTGGTTTGCACCTTTGCCTCGCAGCAAGACGGTCACCGGTTCGCGTCCCAGTGATCTTTCTGCGTGGAGTTTGCATGTTCTCCCCATGCAGCGTGGGTTCTCTCTGGGTTCTCTGGCTTCCTCCCACAAGATCCAAAAACATGTTGAGGTTAATTGGTGATTCTAAATTATCCGTAGGTGTGAATGTGAGTGTTCTTGGTTGTCCGTCTGCTCTCCCGCGACCCCAGTGAGGATGAAGCGGTGTATAAATAATGGCTGGATGGATGGAAACAAACTGGAAACAACATTTACAACATTTGTCAAAGTTCCCACAGATGTTACCAATACTAGGGGAAATGGTGGCTCCACATGCTATAGATATTTAACTATTTACATTTTTACAAACTCTGTGTTTTTGAAACTACTGTGCACATCAACTCCAGGAAGATATTTCATCATGCTGAATGTATCTTCCAGCCACTTGCCCCCCGTATGCTGTTTTTGAGCCGTGCTGTGTTTGTTTTACTGCTCAAGGTTTTTCTTTTTTGCTGTCCATCTCTTTCATCATCTCCTATTTGTTCTGTGTAAACACAACCTTCAGTTTACCTGAGAAGTCCCCGAATTTTTTGTCACGTGATTGTTGGTAGTAGCTGAGTCAGTGGGCTTTTATTTAGATCGTTTTAACCATGACGTCTGTGAAGATTCTCACTCATCCAGGTCATGGTTATTCTCGTAGTTGAATCGTGATGTTTTCTGCACTCTCTCTGCATTTTTAAAAACTGTTCTGAACTTTATATGAATCTGTCCTTTGCTCAGCGTCCCTGGAGGCTCAGCTTGTTTTCAGTGAAAATATTGTTTTTATGCTGGACAGGATATCGAGTGTTGAAATCCTGGAATGTACGGTTTACACAGTCCCCTCTGGCTGAAAAGACCCTCTGAAAACAAATGAATGCGTAGTATGCAGCCAACTGTCCAGCTGCACGTCGACACACAAAATATTTCTGCTGTACAGGCGTATGCAAACTGAAATTAAAAAAGCAGACTTCTTCCAAGCTCTCCTATTACTGCAGCTAGCAGTTTGTTGATTATCGAAAGACAAAGGTTCAAAAGTGTTTTGTTTAGCATTTCGGCTCTGTACACCACCACGCTGGATTGGAAATGAAACAATCAAGATGTGCAGTCAATGACGGCCGAAAGTCTCAAGCCCGCAGACGTTACCAGGTGCTGGGTTTCGTCCCTGGTGATGCTCTGCCAGACCTCCACTGCTGCTGTCTTCATTTCCTGCTTGTTCTTGGGGGATTTTCACTTTAGTGTGTCTTCAGTAAGTGAAATACAGAGTTGGATTCAGGTCTGGTGATTGACTTGTTCATTCCACTTTTTTGCCTTAAAAAACTCTTTGGTTGCTTTAGCAGTTTGCTGTATTGCCCATTAGCACCGTGAGTCAGCTGGGATAGACTCCAGGCCCCCCCACGACCCTAGTGAGGGTTAAGTGATGTATAGATAATGGGTGAATGGATCCTGCTGTTTTTGTTAGGGTAGGACCATGTGTAAATACAGAAAAGAACAGTGGCTGGTTTGCAAATCTTTGCTACCATAGGTGGCTGAATCAAGGGGTCTGATCGACGCCCATCAATAACAATGGTTATGAATTAATGAGTGATACGAGGGGTAGACTGTGTCTGTAGCAAAAGATGAGCTATTGTCTTCATCAACACATATTTTAACACAAACTGAAGCCTCCCACTTCAACACAATTGTTGTTTTCTTAAGTGAACGAGCAAGAGTGAGGTGACAAAGTGATAAAGCTTTTGTGGTGTCAAAATAAAAGCTCAATCCATCTCTCTTACACTCTTTGTGTGATTACAGTTCACTTCTCTGTGGACTGGTGGGCTCCACCCTCTCCCGTTTCCTCAAATTACAGAGGAAGCAGTTGGGATAGTATTGTGAGTGAAAGGGGAATTCATACGTAACTGGAAATGTTACATAAGCGCACTTTCTGCTGGTGTGCCTGAGCAAGCTCCTGTGATCGCAGACAGATAAGAACAGGGTACAAGCACTCAGGCAGCCAGGTTACAAGGATATAAAAAGGGAGAGAAGAAACACTGAAGCACTCAGACTTGAGCCAGGAGTTCAGGAAGGATTTCATCTGGAAGAGTCTACGGAGAGATTCTTGCTGCTGGACTCAGATGTTGATGTTGGACTTATGCTGGAAGCCTCGATGCCTCAATCTGCTGATAGCTGAAGAGATTATGACAGAGGAAAGAAAGTAAACTCAGTGACTGTGCACATCACAATCAAGCAGGAGGCGATCTGCGCATTACGGTTTTACGGTGTCCGGAGGCAGTTAAGGTGAATGTTTGATAAAGTCATCAGAAGACTGAGCTCAGGAAGAAGCACCACGCTGGACTTGCTCGAGCCATTTGACGATCAGATTTTGGCTTGTGGTTCTTGAGTTCTTCGAGCAAACCTTCTGCAGTTTCAGTCATGTCTGAGAGCGGAGGGATGAGCTACAAAGAGGCCATTGAGAAGGCCACCATGACTCGCTTCCCTCTCATCCCTGTCAGAGGAGTTCCTCTCATGAACCTCATCGCCGACAACTTTGACTCCGTCTGGGATTTTTGTCCTGATCCGTCGGACCTCCTCATCGCCACCTACCCCAAAGCAGGTACCTGCCTCCAGCTGCAGCTTTGCTTAATGCACAGTGAATCAGTTTAGAAAAAGTATGCTTTCCCTTTTGTTTTATTTGGAACTCTGCTAATGTCAACACACTTTATCGGAAGGTAACTAAGTGCTAAATCAAGCACAAAACTAAGTCACTACATTTTACTTACATGTTTTCTGCTGCTTTGCACTTGCACTTGTCTTTGTGCTTACTTGGCAGACAGGTTTTTCTCGTTCATTCCTTGCCTTTGCTTTTCCTTTAACCTCACATTTTGGGTTATATTACCACAGTAGTTATTTAATTTGTATTTATTTTTAATATTTTTAATCTTTTATTTCTTTGTCTTTTATTTTTATTTAACATTTTTTTTATTTTTAAAAATATCTTAGAATAGAATTTGGTACAAACCTAAGGGATTCAATCTTGTATATATTTTTATTTTCTTCATATTTTTTTGTTTTTTATTCTCTATGCTATTTGATCAGATCAAATGGCAACAGAAATTAAAAAAAAAAAATGCATATCAAACAAGAGCTCGGGTCAAAACCTGTGAGAGCCCTCGTTTTCATTGGTGTCAAGATACATGCAATAACTAGTGATAATAGAGACATACAGGGCTTTAAAGCAGACACAAGCAGAATTTAACAATGGTAGTTTTTGTACTTTTTAAGGCACATTTTATCTCCAGTGCAGGACTTTAGCTTGAAATGATGCATTCATTCATTCATTCATTCATTCATTCATTCATTCAAGCCTCTTTTACAATGCGGCTGAGTAAGAAAATGAAAGATGTAGGACATTTATAAACAATGAATTTGAGCATTTAATACCGGAAAACAAATGAATCAAATAACACAAGAGCAGCTGCGAGTACAGTAAGATGAAAATACTGACTGCATTACCCCAGGAATGAAAAGGAGTCAAGCTTGACATTGTTCTGCAGGTCTTTCCACAGTGCAGGTGCAAAGTGTGTAAAACTGGATCAGCTACTTTTGCTTCTTCCACTACGATAGGGTAAAGAAGTTTTTCTGAAAGTAAAGAAAGTATAAGAGAACATGTTTAACCCACTGTGTTGGACAAAAACACAAGACGGATCCTCAAAGAGCGCTTTGATGAAGTGCGATAGGTATAATTTGAACTGGTGTGGACTTTTCTTGGAACAACAACAGAGCTTCTGGCCCCATGTGACATTTTCAGAGGTGTTTTCACAGTTTGGAAACATTTTCTTTACTGTTGTATTGACCTAAAGGTGATGAGTCCATCAAAGGGGTTCGTGTCAATGTTTGTAAAACTGTGTGAAGAATGTAGAGCTGATGTGTTTGTCTCAGTTTGGTTCACTTGGGTGGCTGTGTTTTATCGGGACATTACAGGGACCACATGGACCCAGGAGATAGTTGACCTGCTTATTCACAATGGAGATGCTGAGGCCTGCAAACGAGCTCCCACACCCATCCGCAGCCCCTTCCTCGAGATCGTGTCCCCACCACCCGTCCCCTCAGGTTTGTATCTCTGTCTCTGGTCCTTGTATTGGGTTCAGCTGTTTTCCACTTACAATCTTACACAGCTTCTTTCCAAAACATAAAGTACACTGTGTGCTAACAAGCTTTTGTTAACCATTTGAACTACATGCATTATCCAACCACATCTGATCATGTCCCACAAATCCAGTTTCTGAAGGAATGTTTCCATTGTGGTTTGTTTCTTTTACCTTAATCAGTATCAGTGAGCTATTGCCCCTAAATATTACCCTGGCCAGTGAGCTATTGCCCATAAATGTTACCCTCAAGGTCAAAATGGCTTATTGTCCAAGTGACAGACTCTAACATACAGAGAACAGACTTCCTGCTGGAGGGACAAAAAAGACAATATATTTGTTGAACTGGTGGTCGAGTGAAAATGGGATCTTTTTAGTGAAACCTGAAATTCTGAATTAGTGGCTCCAAATTCTCTGGATTTCTTTGTTTTTGTCAGTAACATAGGGGCATAAAAACATCCAATGTGGCCAGTTTTTTAGAGGCTAGTTAGTTAGCAAGTCACTCGTTGTACT